GGAGAGCCCTCTGCAGGCCGGTGTCTCGCCTGCCGCTGGCCTCCATGTCCCTCCCGGACCCCGGTGCCCTTCTACCTCAGGGTTCTGCCCCTGCAGTAACCCACAATCTGGGTCTCCCCACCCAGGGGAACCCCCAACCCTCTATCCCCACCTTGCCTCGGTGGCTACTGCCAGTCACCATCTAGCCCCCGCTCCCTGGGGCAGACGGCCGTCTGTAAACCCCTCATCATCAGCAAGGGGGGATGGACCAGCTGCCTCTGGGCTGCCCCCTGCAGCCCCGGTACCCTTTGTGGGCCCTTAACTCGGCCTGCAGCCTGGGGCTTTGCTAGGCTGGAGCTCCCCAGCTCCCTCTGCCCTTCCCCAGCCCTGCTCCACCCTAGGTCCCCTCCTCAGCTCCCAGGCAGCCAGGTCCTTCTCTCTCTAGGAGCTAGAGAGGGTGTTTTCTGGCTTCTGGCCCACAGCCCTCTTATAAGGGCCAGCTGGGCCCCGATTAAGCGGGCCACAGCGGTGGCTGCTTTCCCCATCAGCCCAGCTTTTCCCAGTCACAGCCCCCTCCCCGGGCTGCTTTAACCCCTTCAGGGCCGGAGCAGGGTGACTACCCCGCTACACAGAGATATGAACCTAGGAGGAGAAATGATTTGCCCACACTGAGCTCCGTCAGGTGGGGGAGGGTCCCCTATGGCAGGGGTGGGAGCCCCAACATGGGGGCATTTAGAACGAGGCTGGCCGCAGCGCTGGTGACAGGACTGCCCTCCCTCAGCTGCCCGCTGGACTAGATGGGCAGCAGTCTCTAAAGGGAAGCCGTGGCTGTGCCATCGTCTGGGCATTTCAAACTGGAAGAAACAACGGGCCCCATCTCTCCTTCCGCGGGTCACATTCAGCCTTGGCATCAGAGCGCCCATCTCCCACTGGCCCGAAAGCACCGGGGCTGAGTGACTTGAGGAGCCTGGTTCTCCCCTCCCGTGCACTGATGTAATCAGGAGGAACTCCAAAGCCATCCACAGGGTTGCACCAGGTCAGGGGAGATTCAGGCTTTGCCTCTCTTACTTACATCAGCCACCCTGGCCCACTGGGAGACGTAAGGGAGGCCAAGGCAGACATCATGTTCCCTCTGCCTTCATCAGGACGTCACAGTTTAACCATTTCAGCGAGTGGCAGGATGGTCCTTGGATGTTTTGCTTTAGGAACGGTCCCTGCTGCCCACTGGGATCTGGGCTGGCAGCAGAGAGGGCTACACACAGCGGCGTGAAGCGGTGGCAGTGCCAGGCCTCTGCAGAGCGGGGGTTAGCCCAAGCAGGTGCCCGATTCCCCTGCGCCCTTCGTTGTGAGGACACAGAGA